ATGAATACAATGAACTATTGGATCGTCAAGTTAAAACATTTACACAAGTAGATACCACAAAAGAAAAAGGCAATGCAAGAACCCCAAAAGAAAAGCAAAAGGAAAAAAAAAACACTTTGTGCGACGCATGTGGACTTACGTCGCGCAAAGTGTTGCTTTTTTTGTTTTTTTCTAAGTTCCACCGTTTTAACTTCTTGTTTACCCGTTCCACTCCTGCCTTGAAATTATTGTATAAGGACCTATATGATGAGACCACGTATTCTAAATCATACACATGTGTTCCTACGTCGCGCAAAGTTTTTTTTTTGTTTTTTTGTTTTTATTTTTTGTTTTTTCTATGTTCCACAGTTTTAACTTTTTGTTTACCCCTTCCACTCCTGCCTTAAAATTATTGTTTAAGGACCTATATGATGAGACCACGTATTCTAAATCGTAAAAGGTAGAGACTAAACCTAAAATGATTACTAACCACGTACTAGAATAGTGGTTTGACAAAGCTGTAAACTGGCTTCTTCTCTAAATCTCTAACATTCTAGTTTCCTCCTCCCAATTTGGTGAGAAATGAAATCTATCCATTTTTTAGCACACATCAATCTATCCCTAAATTAGATCAAGTTAACTGAGCAGCTTGCGGTTTCTTAGCTTTTGTTTCCCTAAACCTATCAAAATCCTTCTTACTCCTAGTCATTCATTCTACTCATTCAATTGTTTAAAACCAAAACTCAACTTGTTAAAAATAAGCATTGACAAAGATAATTAAAGAAAAAACATAAATACACAAAAAAAAAAATCCAAACATAAATGTAATCAATAAATAGTTAATTAATTAATCAAATAAATACAATACCTGAGGGTGATGATGGTGAGGGTTGAGAGATATAGAAAGTTTGAAAGAGAAAGGTTGAATGTGAAGAAAAAGGCCCTTATGTGTGGTTATTTTAGAAAGAAAAAAAGTCGTCGACTATGCGCAACGCCACATACGTTGCGCAAAACAGCTTTGCGCGACGCAGGTTTAACTACGTCGCACAAAGTGGGATGGTTCGGCACCAAAATTTTGGGCGACGCTAAACACAAAACGTCGCGCAAATAGCCTTTGCGTGACAACACTTTGCGTTGTGCAAAGCTGTTTTGTGCGACGTAGGTGTACCTTCGTCGCGCCAAATAGCTTTGCCCAACGCAAGCCTTCGTCGCGCAAAGTGTCGTCGCACAAAGGCTATTTGCGCGACATTTTATGTTTAGCGTCGTGCAAAGCGTCGTCGCGCAAAGGCTATTTGCGCGACAAAATTTTCTGCATCGCGCAAGTTTCCGTCCCTTTGCGCGACAAAATTTTCTACGTCGCGCAAACATGTTTTTGTACTAGTGTTCTCTCCGTGTTCCCACATTACATAGGCCTTCTCTCCATGGATGGCGTCGTCACTGACCTGCAACTGCTCTCCATTGAGCCTGAGCGGAATGAATTGCCTCAGAAGCAAATGATGCTAGTGATGATCACATTGACAGCAACCACAAACCCTAGTCCTAGGAATTGGCTTCTCATTTGCTTAAACCCTGCATTAACTTGGCCACTATGGATTCCATAGGCAAGGCCAATGTAGTGTTGCCAATTTTCGGTTAAGAAGAATATACGGCAGAGCTTCGGGTGGGCAAAGAAGTCGGCAAGGATGCCTCCTAGGCTTCCGGCCACGGCATGGGTGTGGAACACGGCCATGGTTGTTAGTGTATAAATTGATGAACTAATTAGTGAAGATTATAAGTATTCATTAGCGTTATGCCTCAGCTCATAGGCTGAGTTTGTGTGTTAAAATGTAATGTGTTGGTTAAGTCTAATAGGGCTTAACATTGGACAAATGTCTTAATCTTAGTGTAGGATGTAAAGGATGGCTGAGATTGAATTTAGGTATTTTAAATTAATTACGTATTGTCATAACGGTATTTTAAATGAATAATGTAATAATGTATGTTACTGAGTAACTCATTTGTGATATAAGCGAAATTCAATGTGTACATCATTAATATGTTCAACTAATATTATGTTAAAACTCTGATAATATTTCTATTTGAAAAAGAAAAATGAATTATGCACAAGCATTAATTCCCTAGAAAAAAATATTTCATACGAATAGTACGAGATTTGTATTATTATGCTATTATTTATTGCAGTGGCGGATCTAGAATGTGAACCTTAGAGATCTCATTGTTAAATACAAGTTTTTTTAGGGTTTTTATTACAAATAGTCCCTAACATTGATCAAACACATCATTTTGGTCCCTGACATTGAAAATCAATAGAAATGGTCCCTGACATTGATCAAACACATCACAAATGGTCCTTCCGTTAAAAACTTTTTGGGCAATTTTCAAAGCTTCGTAACTCAATCGTTTCCTAACCAAATTCGACCAATGATATATCAAAATGAAGATAGGAAAGTGTAGAACAAGATTATACCTATTTGGAAGCCCAATGGTTGCCGGAGATGGCTGAAAAATAGCCTCAAATGTGACTGGTCCGCGAAAAAACTGGAAAACTCGCCTGAAATGGGGTAAATTTTAAACATTCATAACTTCTTCCATACGCAACGAAATTGAGTGATTCAAAAATGAAAATCATACTTCTCAACAATACAAAGAGAATGGTACCTTTATTGACTACTAATTTACCGTGGTTTGACCGGAAAATGGCTCGAACTTGGATAACCATTTTCGAGTTAGCCAATTTCGAGTTGTTTTCCAGCCAAAATACGACGAGTTAGCCATCACGAAAGCTACCATTCTCTTAGTCTCGTCAAGAAGTATGATGTTCGTTTTTGAATCACTCGATTTCGTTTATTATTGAAGAAGTTATGAATGTTTAAAGTTTACCCAATTTCAGGCGAGTTTTCCAGTTTTTTCGCGTACCAGTCACATTTGAGGCTGTTTTCCAGCCATCTCCGGCAACCATTAGGTTTCCAAATAGGTATAATCTTTTTAGACACTTTCCTATCTTCATTTTGATATATCATGGGTCGAATTTGGTTAAGAAACGATTGAGTTACAAAGCTTTGAAAATTGCCCAAAAAGTTTTTAACGGAATGACCATTTGTGATGTGTTTGATCAAAATCGTTTCAAAGCTTTGAAAATTGCCCAAAAAGTTTTTAACGGAATGACCATTTGTGATGTGTTTGATTAATGTCAGGGACCATTTGTGATAAAAACCCGTTTTTTTAAAAGGGAACAGAGCACCAAGCAAGCAAAAAGATAATCAGTTTATTCATTTGGCGGGTTTGTTGTGCATATGTCACATATATCGATATATTCCGAAACAATCTGATGAGTGATAATGTGATATAGAGATAATTTGGAGTGATGTCGATGTACTTGTCGAGATATACCTAGCATGCATTACATAAAAAATTAGTAAGCACAAAAGGAACTCGTACCAATATTCGAAAGGTCATCGGAAGACCTTTACATGTATATTTTCGGACCCCCATATTTCCAGCCGCCCCTTATTTATTGTATTGTGGTGCATACTACTTGCCTCATGAACAGACACGAACACGACACAAATGTTTATAAGTAAACCCGCATGACCTAACTTCCATGGACTAATGGAGTTTGGAAGGTATGCCGTTTTCTTCATTCATTTCATACCATAAATAATGAACAAGTTTGAAGACTCGTGGAAAGAGTGTTTCTGTTGATGATTCTTGATTAGTATTTAATCCCTGTTTTAAACTAGATAAATGTGTTTCAAGTGGCACAACAACAGCAGCTAAGATGCGGCTCTGGCTTTATTAAAAAGTGCTTTTTCTTTGTGTTGGCTAGATCCCACTTGCCTTTGGGTGTCCGTGCTTTTTCATGTACTGAGTAGGCATCTTCTATGTTTCGAGTGAGGATCGAGAATCTCGGAGATTCATGAATTGTGTCTATTTATTATACAATATATGGTCAGTTTTTATTTTAAATTGAACACAAAAATTACCTGACGAAAATTGACCGCAAGATATACGATAAACAAATATAATTTAACGGATTCCTGAAATCCTTACAAAGAGAATCCGGAAAATCCTGATTCTTATGTTTCTACTTATATACATGCCACGTGTTTTAAAAATAACTAAAGTTAAAATAAACTACCAATTGTAGGCTAGATTTACCAAAAGCTGCGTGCAACAGAAAATGCTCAGAGGACTTTTTTTGTTGATAATATTTTTTAATAAAATAATGTGCGGTTAACAATTAGATTTCATTTAGTGGTTTGAACAAAAAAATCTAATCATCAGCCTCCACATTGCCTACAAATATTGTCTAGAAAAATGATCCGTCTAGTATCACTTGGGTGCAAAAAAGGGTTTTGTGGGCCAAGATTTTTGAGATAAATGCTGTTAGATCCATCGTCATGGAGAGTGGATCCTCTATGCCTTATATGTACATGCCCATCTCTTCCTAACACGAGGCCTTTTGGGAGCTCACTAGCTTTGAGTTCTATCGGAACTCCGAAGTTAAGCGAGTTTGGGCCAGAGCATTCCTAGGATGGGTGACCCACTAGGAAGTTCTCGTGTGAGTTCTCAGAAACAAAATCGTGATGGCATAGTCGGGGTTCAAAGCGGACAATATCGTGTTACCGCGGAGTCGAGTCCAGGATGTGGTAGAGCCCAGGTTAGGATGTGACAAATGCTTTTAGAGAAATGTTAAGAGAACTTTCTTAAAAGTATAACTCTTTATTGACTTTATGTCGGCTCACACTTTAATGTCAATTTTGATACCAATATTATAAAATATTGTGTCATAAACATGAGGTGGCAGATGGTTTATAGGAGTCTCGCGCTTTGAGAGAGTCCCTTGGCATTTCTCAAAAAAGAAAGAAAGTAGAGCTTTTCATTTCAGCTTCCAATCACAATAACAAACTAGTTTGTCCATATTTTTCAGTTCTTATTACATTATATTAGGAGTATATTATGTTTCTTGCAAGAAACACACAACCAAAATTAAAATTTAAAAAAAAAATGGCATATCAACTTCATGGCTCAGCTTTAGGCGCCTTCACAGGAAACTCTTCCATTCCATAAACTGAGTTATGCTTGGAGCCATCATACTTCTCTCCATCTCCCCACACTGCATAGGCCTCCTCTCCGTGGATGGCGTCGGCACCGACCTGCAACTGCTCGCTGTTGAGCCTGAGCGGAATGAATTGCCTCAAGAACATGCAAATGATGCTAGTGATGATCACATTGACAGCAACCACAAACCCTAGTCCTAGGAATTGGATTCCCATTTGCTTAAACCCTGCACTGACTTGGCCACCATGGATTCCATAGGCAAGGCCACTGTAGTGTTGCCAATTTTCGGTTAAGAAGAATATACGGCAGAGCTTCGGGTGCACAAAGAAGCCGGCAAGGATGCCTCCTAGGCTTCCGGCCACGGCGTGGGTGTGGAACACGGCCATGGTGTCATCTACATGACTTAGGATGCCGATTTTCTTGTGGATGACCATCATAGTGTACCATGGGATGCTTCCTGACATCATTCCCATGATGATTGCTGCCCAACCTTGTACCACTCCTATACTCAAAAAATTATATGACACAATTAAGTGATCATGTACAACTGAAATAAAAACGGCATACCAGTTATGTAATATGACATGACAATTTACGATTGCACCAAGAAATGCATCATTTTGAGTAGGCATGATTAGAGATGGAGGTATGAACTGGCTGAATAGTTCAAATTGGCAGCATGATATTCGATTCGGCTTTCAAATTAAAGCAAGAGAAATGAAATCTCATATTTATCTGTGAACTTTTGTTTGGGCCTAAAATAATATTATTAGGCCAAGCGTAGGTTCATGTTCGGCCCAAGGCTTTTCCAAACATACTATGGGCCATCCAGTGGTCATAAGTCGCCCCATCAGGTAGGTCGAGTCCTATTTCAAGAAGGATTGGACTGGATAAGAGCGAGTGGGTCGAGTCCTAGTATGAAAAGGAGTTTTGATGGAATAAGGATGCTGAGATTTGAGAAGTGAATGCGGCCGAGTAAAGAGTTTGGTTCAAAGTCCTAATGGAGGTAGGATTGGCCGAGATGTGGTTAGATTAGGATAAAGAATCTTAATCCAAGTATAGTTCTGGTTCGACCATGATAAGGTTGGCTCCTATAAATACGAGACGATACACATCGAGAAAGGGCTCCAACTCAACACACAAACTGCCTTGCGTAAAATATCACTCTACGCGAAACCTCTTAACAGCCTTGAGATTTTTATTTTCTTTTTCGCCAACACATCTTCAGTTTGGATAAACAACATTGTGAAGGCAAGCGGCGAACACCTTCAGTTTGGATAAACAGCACTGTTGCCGTAGAATCAGCCGACCGCGGAGCACTTCAGTTTGGATAAATAGCACTGCGTCGAGGCCGACTGATTATCTATCCAAGTCTCGGTCGAGAAGGATTTTCGGATCCTTGTTGGCAGAGTTCATCTCATTGGCCTTCTCGGGAAATTGAGGTGTTATAGATTATTGGGCTCGGCGCATTGAATGCCGAGTGTTAGAAAGTCCTTAAAGTACTTCCTGGAAGAATCACGTAACTGGCGCTTCTTGCAGAAAGTACTTTAAGTGTTTTTTGAATCTAAAAATATTTTCTTTAAAAGCACTTTCAGTTATTTTAAAAGCACATCCAAACGAACCCTTAGTATTAGCAACGTTACATTTGATATATTTATATTTATGACTAAATTTTGTATCATATATTTTTATTTTTAGTTTGTACCCATTTTAATTTGCAACCTTTTTTTTTAATTGTGCCAATTTTATATTTAGTTTTAGTTTGTACCCATATATTAATTTCTTTTTTTGTCCATATTTTTAAAACTTTTATTTTTACTCATATTTTTTTGACCTTTTATTTGTATCCATAATTTATTTATAATGTACCCATTTGTCTTTAAAAATGTACCACTTTGTTATATGTAAAATATACCCATTGTTTTTTTTTATATATGAAATGTACCCATTATATAAAACGTATCACCTTTTTTTGTATAAAATGTACCAACTTTTTGTTTGTAAAATGTATCGTATAAAAATTACTAAATTTTATGTGTAAAATTTCATTAATATAAGTAATGACAAATCATGGGTTTTATTTTTATTTAAGTATAATTTTTTTTAATATTTTCAACAAATTATGGAATTTATTTAAAATCTCATTAATATAAATAACTAAAAATATCAAATTTTAATTTAAAAATTATAATAACCTACATAGAAATGCATTATTGCATTAATTTCAAGGACTTCAATAAAAACCCGAAAACCAACAAGGTTTCAATCAAAGAACGTTGACAAATAGGGACCGCATTCAAAGTTACCCTAAGTGTAATAATATTGATGTACAATAATGTTGATATGTCTTATTTTTAGAATATAATAATATACATTATTATAATTTGAATGAAATAATAACACTGTGTTGATGTGTTTCAGATACACCTAAACGTTACTGTGAAACTAAGGTCTTGAGACTTGGAATCATGACACTGGCGCCATTCAATAATACTTATCACTTTCAATTCAATATATAACATGTGTACTTAAATGAAACAAAATTTTGAATTATTTTGATTCTTATTTTTTTTTTGCATTTACTAAAATATGGTGTTTAAATTATTCCACTAAATGACTTCCTTTGTACTTTACTAACACATAGGAAATTATACCAATTGTAAGTTACATGTTCAAATTCGTAATTTAATATTTAAAAAAACAAGAATAAAACCAGTTTGAGACTAATTTGATGTAGATAAGATGACGAAATAAATTGAAGATCAAGTTAAAAGGCGTAAATCGGGCAGCAAGTGAAACAAATGAAAGGAGCACATTTTTGGGCATGCCAACAAACTTTAGTGTTACATGGTTTAAAAAAAATAAAAAATAAAAAATAAAAAAGACCTATACAATTAGATCCCACCAAAAGTGGTCCATTATGTTTATCAGAAACTTTTAAGGGAAGGAATTCCCTTTTTTTTTTTTTTTTTTTAAATGGGGATTAGGTGTGGAATCCACGTCACATTAAACTTTAACAATTCGAACTATTTATTTTTCAAGTTGCACCTCATAGATCATCCTTGCAAAATATTAGCCAAATCGAAAATGTTTAAGACATCTAATTGGGTTCAAGGAAATTAACGAATACTTTGTTATACAAGAAACAATGAAATTTTATCTTGATAATTAAATAGGCAAATGGTTTCAGATTGAATTGAATTTTCGTAAAGATGGTATATGAATTGAGACCTACAAAATAAACGGTTTGGATCGTTGAAATTCGATGTGAAGTGAACCCCACTCCTAATCCCAATTTTTTGAAAAAAATAGAAATCCTTTTACATAAAGAGCCTAATCATCCTACAACTGCTGACAGAATTGATATGGGATGGAGTACCCTGCAAGAGCATCACATCTTGCAGCAAGAGATCGATTTTGCATTGCTCACTACAACTCCAAAAGTGAAACGACTAAGACATGATTTTCGTTTTTTGCATGAATAAGTTTTAGTTGATGGTTTTTCTTTTGGGATATAAACGATATTAGAAGAGTGAATAATTGAACAAGAGATTTTGAATGTAAAAGTGAATGCACGTTTTAGTTGTTATTTTTTATTTTTTATATAAATGATGCTTTACAATAAATTGTCTAATTTATTTGGAAGGAACTTCGAATTTGGCTGCAAAGAGAGAAGCACACTTCTCTAACCAATTTGGTTAAACTTAAAGCATAATTTAACTTCAATTTTAATTAAGCTAGCTAAAACATTGTACTCCATCATTTGCACTCGTCCTGAATTCTGCTCATCGTAATATAAAGTAAAATTAATTTAATGTAGACAATCATTTGTCTTAATAAAAAGTTTTGGAATTTTAATGTGGCCTTCAAAAATATGAATTAAACAAATATAAAGAAGAGAAGAGAGTAAAGTAAATTATAGCAATTGTCCTTCAACTTTGACTTAATTGGAGCAATGGTCCATCAACTAAAAATTCATTACAAATGGTCACTCAACTCATCAAAACGTGCAACCATGGTCCCTCAACTAAAAATTCACTACCAATGGTCCCTCAACTTTAATCCAACTAGAGAAATGGTGCCTCAACTTTTAATTCAACTAGAGAAATGGTGCCTCAACTTTCATTCAATTAGAGAAATGATTCTTGAACTTTAATTTAATTGTAGCAATGGTACTTCCAACATAACTCATTTTGAGAAAATTCTGACGACATTGACAAAAAGAATTATAATTACACGTTTTGATGAGTTAACAGACTAATAGTAATAGATTTTTAGTTGAGAAACTATTGTTTTAATTTAATTAAAATTGGTGACCATTACTACAATTTCCTCGAGAATATGATCATGTTGCCGTCGCTGCAAGTAGCACCACAAGAACGCTGCGTCACAGTTCACTCGCAAGCATTTTGTTCGTATCCCTCCTCGCCAGAACCTGTGGTGCTCCTTCAACCCTCAGAGAAAAGCTTCTCCCTCTCAAGCTCAAAGCTCCCTCAACCAGTAAGCTCTCTCTCTCTCTCTCTACTGTAAAATTTCCATTTCAAGAGAGAGAGAGATAAGTGAACAGAGCAGCTTTAAAACCCCAGAAAACTGCTACCATTTGCATGCAGAATTTTGAATTTCCATTGATGTTGTTCAGTTAACTGGAAACCCGAGTGAAAGTCAGTAGCTTTTCTATCTGGGTTCTTTCTAAATTATCAAATCATGGTCTCTGCAATGCTCAATGGGGCTGAGAATCTCACTCTTATCAGAGCAATAACCCCAAATGTGTTAAGTTTTCACGTGTCGGATCTTCACGGGAAGCAGTTTCTGAAAACGGGTTTTGCTTCAACCGCAAGAATACCCAAATCTTGCGCTAGAATCAATGTGCCCAGATGCAGCAGCAGCATCTCAGCTCCTCGGCCAGCTTCCCAGCCGAGGTTTATTCAGCACAAGAAGGAGGCTTTCTGGTTCTACAGATTCCTCTCAATTGTGTATGATCATGTTATAAACCCCGGGCATTGGACTGAGGACATGAGGGACGAGGCGCTTGAGCCGGCGGAGCTCACTGATCGGAGAATGATTGTGGTGGATGTTGGTGGCGGCACAGGGTTCACCACTCTGGGGATTGTGAAGCATGTGGATGCCAAGAATGTCACCATTCTTGACCAGTCACCTCACCAGCTTGCCAAGGCGAAACAGAAGGAGCCCTTGAAGGAGTGCAAGATTATTGAGGGTGATGCTGAGGACCTCCCTTTTCGAACTGATTACGCTGATCGATGTGTCTGCTGGGAGGTACATTGCACATACATACACTTTTCATTTGTTGTGCTTTTCCAGCTTTGCTTGATCTTCAAGTTGCAAATTTGTTATGTAATGTGTTGATTTTGTGTCTATTTAAGGGCTGGAAAGTAGTCTCTGCCTATTAGGATGCTATTATACCCAAACGTGGGTTAGTCTAATTGGCTAAGACGGTGTTTAAATCCCCATCCTCGTAGATTTGAGTAGTTCAGAATGTCGCCTTGTAAAAAACGAATGCTATTACTCGATTGGAGCACGAACACCATGTTTGATTTTCAAATGCATTCTTCATTTGTTGATTGAACTCAAATATGTGGTAAAAATGTGCAGGATGGTATTCGCTTTTAGCTCATGTTGAATTTTGACACACACATGCTAACTTTTGTTGTCTTTCTAGTGGGACTGTATGATTGCATTTTCTCAGCATCGAGTACTGGCCAGACCCGCAGCGTGGCATCAAGGAAGCATACAGGGTCCTAAAACTCGGAGGAAAAGCATGCGTAATTGGTCCTGTGTACCCAACATTTTGGTTATCTCGTTTCTTTGCCGATGTATGGATGCTTTTCCCAAAGGAGGAAGAGTACATTGAGTGGTTCCAGAAGGCAGGGTTTAAAGATGTCCAGCTGAAAAGAATTGGCCCAAAATGGTATCGTGGGGTTCGCCGCCATGGATTGATCATGGGATGTTCTGTTACAGGCGTTAAACCTGCATCCGGGGATTCGCCTTTACAGGTATTTTCTTCTGGAGAACTCTGGTTGACCTGTTTCTTGATGGTTAATGCTCTTCCATGTTCGATTTCTTATCAGTTTAGCATTTAGACTTGATTGAGATTCAAGCACTTCGATGAAACGAGTGCATTCTAATTGTGTAGTAGTTCGATTAGTATATACATTGGCCATACTACTACTGTTTATAGAAACGGAGAAACGTTATGATTTCCCGTATAAATCGTCGAAGTTCCGGTCACTATAGATCATTGAACTCGAATGCTATTGCTGTCAATTCCAAGAGCAGATGGTGGCTTTATAATTTTGTTCTTGTTTTATGATGTGTGGTGGTTCCTTTTAATCCTATGTTCTATCTTATTTACTCTTCATCTGTCGTTGTGTTTCGATGCAGCTTGGTCCGAAAGCAGAGGACGTGACAAAGCCGGTAAATCGGTGGTCGTTCTTCGTGCGGTTCATGTTGGGTGTCATGGCAGCAACATACTACGTGCTGGTGCCTATATACATGTGGATCAAAGATCAAATTGTACCCAAGGGCCAACCAATCTGAGAGAGAGAGTTGATGCCCTTCTGGTTTTACTACTGGTACAAGTAGGCAGGCATGGTTGTCGTTGTGTATGCATACAGGACGAGACAGAATTGTCGATGATCGCCATCGCTAATGAAATCCCATCAGATTTTCAACTGTAATTAAAGCTTTGTTTAGTCTCTTGAACAACTGCGCGAAAAAAAATAACAGAATCAAAATCCCCACGCATCATCCTATAACAAAGTCGATTACATTCAGATTACATTGCAATGCAAACGCAAAATCTAACGAGACAGATACGCGTAGAATGCCGATGGATCCCTTCTGCGTAGATGTACATGAACTCAAGATGCCACTAGTATTGTGCCGGAACCAAGAAAAAGACTTAAGGACTGATATCGTCATATGAAACCAACCCCCTTTGAGCAGGCGGGGAGCTTGATCTTGACCTGCTCGGAGACCTAGGAGTTCGATTACGACGCTTAGGAGTAGCATCTGGAGATCTGGAATAAGAGGGCCTTGGGCTCCTTGACCTGGACTTAAGCCTACCTCTGTCTGGAGAGTGCTGATTACCAATTCGGGGTCCAAGGCGGGATTTTAGTCTATCACTTACAGGAGGTCGGTCAACTGGACTCAGACTACGGCTGCGGCTGCGGCTGCGGCTGCGGCTGCGGCTGCGGCTGCGGCTGCGGCTGCGGTCCCTATTACGGACACGATAACCACCAGGACTGCGGGAAATGCTCCTACTTCGACTTCTCCTGCTCCTGTATCTATATATACAAAAAAACCAATCAACAGCATGATACATTCGTGTCTCAATATGCCATAAAAAAATAACACGTAAGTTAGAAGAACAGATGACAAATGCAGGAGCAAAATACAGAAAAACTAGAATTCTGGTTAATTAAGAGAAATTTGATAAGATCCTCTTCCAGTATTTGAAATCACCAGGTAATATAAGATGACGTGCTTCATTCCCTAGTCATCAAAATTTCAAAAATCTATTACTATTAATTTCATCCACTGGGCTTCATGTATTGATGGATAGGATAAATGCTTCTGATTTATAAGAAGCATTACAATTTATCTTTCTCTGAGAGGACTCTGGGATGGTGCCACATATTTTTCCTTATTAAGTAATGGGTTTTAAATAAAATGAGTCTAGCTCTCTGCATGTGTATAAACAAAAGAAAAAAGACATGTCGGTCTACCATGATCGAAAAGTTTGTATTTCTTTCGTCTCTAACAAAAAGATTATTTATGCTCTGACTCTACTTTTTCCCACCTCATATGTTTTGTGTATGCAATGGCTAAGCATATGCTTTCAGGCTTGAGAGAGAGAGAGAGAGAGAGAGAGAGAGAGAGAACCTCGGAGGGCTTCCACCTTTCGGTGGGCTTCGCAAACGTCTACGAGGTGAGCGCTCAGAAAAATTTCTATAGCTTGAGTACCTTCAGACATGCAAAAGATAATTCATTTTAAGCTCATACTTTCTTACTCATAATTCACTAACATGATACTGAAATTACCTATCACGGTTACTTCTATAAGTGTCTCTTCCATTATTACGATAGGAATTACGGAGTGAACGCTCTGGAGATGGAGTACGGTAACGACGTGCAAAGGCAAAGCGGTCAGTGAAGCCACGCCCTTTTCTAACGCGCTTTGAATTTCCATTTGGTGAAGTGCTTCTTGATAAACCCCCTTCATGATTGGTGGTAGAAGGTTCAGGAGCTCTGCGGACAGGGCTACGCGATGGACTCCTAGCTCTGTTTTTCTCGCCAGTACTCCTCGGAGGACTTCCACTAGGAATTCTATCAGGACTTGGGCTTGGCATGCTCCTAGGGCTGTTTCTTGACCTCCTTTTGCGAGTTGGACTTCTGATGATAAAATATGCACAGAAATTGTCAAGCAATCAAAGAAGTATCAGCTGTACATGAACCAGTCTAAATAAACCCAAGGCAGTAAAAACGACAGAAGAAAAGCAAGTCAACAGTAGAAACCTAGAGATGTTTGAGTCATCTGAGTCGGAGTTCTGATTAGCAGTTTTAGCTTCTGCATTATGCCCATTGTTGAAAGGTGCATCATTCTTTGGAGATAATTCACCTTCTTCTTGGGATGCGTTGCCCTCAGTTTTCTTCCTACCATGATTATGCCTCTGTTCAACAACAATTTTTTTCACTAGAGGGGGTTCTTTTCCCACATCTGGAACATCACAACAACCCACGAGTTCAAAATGCATTATTAGATGAAGTAAAGCTATTAAACAAAGCTACTTAAGACTTTTCCATCTTGCACAAGCAGGCGTGCACACATAAATGTTAATAACAAATATCTTGTAATAATATAGATGAGATACCATTGGTTGGAAGTTTTTTTTCTGCATGCTTTAAGTTGCTGGTTTTACGAGAAGAAACATGACGACCATCTTTATCATCATCAGAACTGCTTCTGCCGCTTCTAGAAATCTCACTTTCTGTGTCACTTGAACTTTCCGATCTCCTGAAAACAAGGTCATAATAAACATGCAAGGAAAATAAAGGAGGCCCAGGTAGAAAACAGAAAAAAGAAGTGGCAGTTAAAGTAACTAGGAAACATACCGTTTTGACTTGTGCCTTGATCGTTTGGAATACCGCCCGCTCTTCCTCTTTTTTTTCACATCTCTTCTTTTCCTTGAACGCTGGTGCTTACCTTTTTTAACAGATTTCCTCTTCCTGCGCCTTCCATCACTAGACGAACTTGAGTCAGATAGAGAAGAATCAGAATCAGAATCAGAATCTGAAGAATCCGACTCAGACTCTGAGCTGTGGGAGTCAGATGAAGAATATCTTCTTCTCTTAGTTCTTTCCTTCAAGGATTTGTTACGCCTTCCTCTAGCTTCCTCATCAGAACTATCCTCAGAGGATGGAACCTTTCCTGATTTCCTCTTTTTACCTGGACAAAAAACTGATCATATATGCTCCCAAAATAAAGTATTTACAAGGCAGATAATTCTTGTGTCTGTACTTATGTATGCACACATTACCTTTCTCTTTCTCTTTCTCTTTCTCTTTCTCTGTTGCAACAGGGATTTTAATTTCTGAGAATTCACCACAATCCACAATTTTCACGGTTTCTAAAGGTTTTCCATCAGCAGTTCCCACTTTCTCAATTTTCTCAACTACATCCATTCCCTTCACAACTTTTCCAAAAACAACATGTTTCCTGACAAAGATAATGACTAAATCATTTTAAAAGTATAAAACAACCCTACATAAAACATTGTCTCTTAAAGTGGTGAACAATGGAAATGAAGAAGATCTATGGCTGTAGGTAATGAGTATGAATAGCATCTCACATAAACGTACGAATAAAAAAGCAATTTAAATTACCCATCCAGATGAGGCTGGCGCCTGAAGATTATAAAGAACTGGGAACCATTTGTGTTTGGACCCGCATTTGCCATGGACAAAAGACCAGGTCTATCATGCTTCAATTTAAAATTTTCATCTGCAAGGGGAATGAAAATTATGACCACAACTAAATCGTTATGACGCATGTAAGTTCCTACACGCGCAAGAAAAAAAAATCTACCTGCAAACTTTCCTCCATAAATACTTTCTCCACCAGTGCCTGCAAACCAATCAAAGGTCGATCCTTACACGTCTGGGCATGAATTTACAAGTAAAACATAAAATTTGCATTCATCAAACAAATAATTGATTTACAGGAAGAAATTCATACCATTTCCATTTGAAAAATCACCGCCCTGTATAAAAGAGAGACGAGGTTATGACATATTAATACTTACAAGATAAATAAATAATTCAGCCCTAAATCATAGAGAGAAACGAGCGGAAAAGGTTGTCATCTCTACCTCCAACAACATCATCCCCACAACAACAACAACAACAAAGCCTTTTCCCACTAAGTGGGGTCGGCTATATGAATCCTAGAACGCCATTGCGCTCGGTTTTGTGTCATGCCCTCCGTTAGATCCAAGTACTCTAAGTCTTTTCTTAGAGTCTCTTCCAAAGTTTTCCTAGGTCTTCCTCTACCCCTTCGGCCCTGAACCTCTGTCCCGTAGTCACATCTTCGAACCGGAGCGTCAGTCGGCCTTCTTTGCACATGTCCAAATCACCAGAGCCGATTTTCTCTCATCTTTCCTACAATTTCGGCTACTCCTACTTTACCTCGGATATCCTCATTCCCAATCTTATCCTTTCTCGTGTGCCCACACATCCCACGAAGCATCCTCATCTCCGCTACACCCATTTTGTGTACGTGTTGATGCTTCACCACCCAACATTCTCTGCCATACAACATCGCTGGCCTTATTGCCGTCCTATAAAATTTTCCCTTGAGCTTCAGTGGCCTACGACGGTCACACAACACGCCGGATGCACTCTTTCCATCCAGCTCGTATTCTATGGTTGAGATCTCCATCTAATTCTCCGTTCTCTTGCAAGATAGATCCTAGGTAACGAAAACGGTCGCTTTTTGTGATCTTCGCTAGATTGCTCCGGTCATTAGTGTGGATAAGTATATAAATGGATAGAGATAGGAAAGCAAACACAAGATGTACGTGGTTCACCCAGATTGGCTACGTCCACGGAATAGAAGAGTTCTCATTAATTGTGAAGGGTTTACACAAGTACATAGGTTCAAGCTCTCCTTTAGTGAGTACGAGTGAATGATTTAGTACAAATGACATTAGGAAATATTGTGGGAGAATGATCTCGTAATCACGAAACTTCTAAGTATCGGAGTGTGGTGTCGTCTTGACTTGCCTTATCTGTCTCATAGGTAGATGTGGCATCTTCTCTGGAAGTACTCTTCCTCCATCCAGGGGTGGTATCTTTAACTGGTGGAGATGCACAAGGTAATGTATCAATTTCACTTGAAGCTTACTTGTAGTTTCAGGCTTGGTCAAGCGCGATACAAACCATGTAGTAGGAGTCCCCCAAGTCGCCGAGCTAGGGGGTCTGCTGAAAGAGGTGACAGACAAGGTAAGCAATCAGAGCTCCGACTGATTGTTCACCTTCTCCCCATCTTGCAGCAGCATGAAGGATAAAGAGAAGAAAGATGAGAAGAGATGATATGAGATACTTTTGCTTTTGAAGAAGTAACTTTCCACAGGCTTATTCTTGAACTGAGCTGGAGGGTTTTCTGGTTTCCTCCAGAGTATAAGGCCGACTGAAGAATTTGAGGGTCAAAACAAGTCCATCAAATCTAGAGTACGTTCCACCCTGCTGATATGGGATACTTTTGCTTTTGACAGAGTAATGGATGTATCGGCACGTGTGCTGTTACGCTTGTCTCCACATGCTTCCTTGTATCCTTCGCACTTGCCCTATCTGTTCCTCAAGCAGATGCGGAATCTTCCCTGG